GCTCGACGACATAGTACATTTGGAGGAATATGATAGGTGGAAACAATCCGTAAAATAGTAGTGTCTTAATTTAAAGTACTAGAGACAGTACTTACCTTGGACCCATCATCATCGAGAGCTACCTTACCTCGATGCTTTGTGATGCGAGGGTGTAAAGCTCTGGTTGAGCCAAAAAGGTCTCTAGGAGAATAATTTTGAGAAGCTGCGCTTGGAAAAACTCGAACAGGTTGCTCGTCTAGGCTGCTCAGTGCAGTAGGCTATCAGCCCAGCAGGCCATTGGCCTGGTCTGCTCAGCGCAGCAGACTGCTGGCCCAAAGTTGTCTGCCCCGCCTGCTCGCCCAGATCAATCTCCCTTACGTTCAGCAGTACAGTAGGCGCGCACTCAACACCCAAATCAGCTTGCTCAGCACCCAGATTGGCACCCAAATCAGTGTTCTTCTCGCCCGAAATAACTTGCTTAGCACCAAAATCAGTTTGCTCAGCGCCCAGAACTTCTATTGCGCACACAACAGACGTGTGCCCAGCGGAGAAATCAACATGCTCAGCGCCCAGAACCTCCATTGCGTGCATAGCAGGCACGCGCCCAGCCTCGCCAACGTCATGCCTGCCTTCCTGCTCGCCAAACCCAATAAAACTAGCACCAAAAGGGGCGCCCAGTACCCCTATCTCGGGCACAACAGGTGCTCGCCTAGCAGCACCCAACGGTGCCTCCACTCCAACACCGAAGCCATTCTCTCCTAAGCTCCATTGAATGATGGTTTCTCCTTCTTTGATATCAATGGAAGCTTGAATCTCTTCTTCTACAATCGATATTGATGACTCAGTACACAAACTCAAGAATATCAAACCTTGGGTCTACAAAGAACACAAGAAAATCTCTCCAATATGTTCTTGGAAGGTTTCAAGAAATGCTCCACCTCCTCCTCTCCCAAGAACGACTGAAAGAGTAAAGATGAAAAGTGGGTTCTCTATTTATAGCTAGGATTTTAAAATCTAATTGGAGAGGCAAAAACACCTAAAAAGCCCAAATTAAAAACCAAGGGCTCTCTTAAAAATCCAAATAAAAATGGAAAATATTTGAGGTGTTCAGCAAGGCAAACTACATCAAGAATGGAGATGGAGCCTTGGTGTCTGATTCAAAAAACCGTTTTAAGGTCCAGGGGCGCTGCCCCCGAGCCCCCGCCACCTGACCAGGCAGGTGGAACTCCGCGACCTATCCAGGCAGGTCCATCCCCGTTGTCATAGCGCAACATGGATGTAGCGGGTGAAGAGTATTCTTGGGTTAGAATTCAAATTCAGTTGAATGCCCACTTCTCCAAATTTCATTGGACATGGGACATTGGAGGGCAAATGATGGGTCAAGCCCAAATGGCTCAATCCATGGGAAAAAGCCCAAGTTTATAGAAGACCAAGCAAGCCCTATGAGGTTCAAGACGGTCAAGCCCATCAGGGAGCTATAGGAGCATCCAGGAGCTATACCCTTGTCCGTTGAGGAAAAGGAGAGGTCGCCAAGGAGAGGAGAGGTCGCCAAGAAGAGGAGACGTCATCAGCTATTAAGTTACCTCCAGTCCGTTATAACCGTCAAGCTACTCAATTACTACACAGGCTTCTATAAATTGTAAACTCTCCCACCACTTGGGGGGCATCTCAACAAAATCAAGCTCATCTCTTCTCTCTTGTATTTCTTTGTTCTCCCAACACACCGGAGCTAATAAACTTCTCGGCGAACTTAACCATTAAAAGTGGACGTAGGTCTTGTTGACCGAACCACTATAAACCTTGTTTCCTCTCTCCATCTACTTATTTTATTTCATTTTGTTCTATTTACCTGATTAGTGGTGTGTAAACCAATTTGTGCATCATCAAAACTAATAAACTAATATTGCAATATAATAAAATAAGTACACTTTACACGTATCACAATTTTATTGGATAAAAAATAAATATACGATAGCAAAAAATTGTATTTCTAAATCGTAACTGAGCCCTAATACTATAAACATGGAAAAATTATTTCAAACAAAAGAAATTTGAAATCGTCATAATAGCTCGGATGGTAGAGTTTTAGTGCCAAGATGTAACTTATTGTGTTGATTGAGAGGTAAATTAAAACTTAAGTGTAAGACTCTATACAAAATTTAAAGATGAATAAAATGATATTAAGCATACTCTCAAAAGAATGATAAAAGTTTTGAATTGTTGTTGAATGATTAATCATAAAATTTGGATTTTGCACGTATTGACTTACGTGTCGATAGTTTCAGAGATGTTTAAGCTTGAGAATGTGGCTGGGTAAGTTTCTAAATAATTTTAGGTCAAAATAAGACTGCCATTAAATCTAGAAAGTCGAAAAAACTTGAGAGACGTTATATGGGATATATTGAAAATTTAAAAGTATTCAAGAGTTAAAACCTATTTTGGAGAGAATTCAGGTAGAAACAAATTTGACAATTCTTTAGTATTTTAAGGTATTGTTTTATCCCCGACATCTAATTACTCTTATTTTTGAATAGTAGAAACTAGACTTCAAGAGTTACAAAAGTGTATTTCATGAAAATTTCATAAATTGTCTTCTAATTAGGTCGAAATCAAGTTGAAAGTCTAGGCCAAAAAATTACCCGTGTCGAGACGCGAAGAGAACGTCCAAATGCAACTCTGAAGGTTCTAATAGAAAATTTTGACCATCAAGATGCACCTATCAGGTTTTGAGTAGTGAGTTTTAACCATCTAGACGCAAGTTGATCGTCAAAAAATGGCGCTGAAGTTTGCCCAATCAATTTTTAGCGTTTTTCTTGTTTTTCACCCTATAAATATCCTAGGGATAGGTTTTTGGCTATTTTAACCGTTGTTTCAATCCTAGAAAGCCAAAAAAAGTTGAGGAAAAGGGAAAGGGAGAGATCTTGTCAGATTAACATGAGGGAACTACATCAAAACGTATTAGGGTCAACGTGTACGAAAATTAAGATAGGGTTCTTAATCAAGTTCACTCATTGAGAATTAGAATTACTTGTATACATGGTTTGTCTTCTATTCAATTACATATGATAGATATACAATGCTTTTATACTTTTTTTCATAATATGATCTGTTTCTTGGAAGAATTACATGTTTTACATCACAAATCTAATGTGCTTGATTTAAAAAAACCCTACTTCTTGATTATTATCAATTCAAAAATACTTTTTGGAGATCTCTTGCATGCTTTCTCCAAATTATCCTATTTTGACAATTGTGGAACCGTGATTCATGATTATATACGGACTTTATGAAAATTGTCTCTTGTATTGATGGGGTGATGAACGTGGGTTACCTTCGATTGGATATCATAGAGTGCATAGATACATTTCTTACATTCGACCAAATATCATAGAAAGTTCCCTATCACTTGTAGTGAAATTGTTTGGTTTCTTGCGAAGTTCAAGAAGTCGCATTATTAGTTCATGGGAATCGAGGTTAGGGGCTAGTATACTATTCTTAAGAAGGATTTTTCAATGCCGATGTGTCAGTATACACTATTTCTAAAATGGTGTATCCTTGCGAGGATTGGGTGGAGAATTGTGTATAAGTATGTTTGGACCAATATATTATCGATGTGTATATTTATGCTAGTTGACCTGCGTACTTGAGATATATTTGTGGTTATCAATTATTGTTTGAGAATTGTTCCTTCTTCTTTATGAACTTTATAGTTGGTATTGTAAACTTAAGATCTCATTAATTGCCATGGTTTTACTTCAAATTATGATATGTTATTTTATTAAATGAGACCTACATGTGGTAATAGAGATGAGCTGTAAACTCAAACGTTTTGAGTTTGAATCTTGACAACCCCTGGGGTAAGACCGTGAGGGATTTGTCTCTCATGAATACCCTAGTTCCGGTGTGAATGACCTACATTTGACTGGATAGGGGAAGAGATTAGACGAGGTGCATGTAAGCTTATCCAGATACCCCTGACTGTTGAACCAAAAAATAGAATAAGATTATTGTTTTGATATTTGCATGTAAACTTAATGATTGGTTTATTTTTTTGTTTTTTTTTTGATATTTATCTAGTTAGTCTTTGAATGTTGAATAATTTTTATTTATTTAAAAGTATTTTAGTATGCTCTTATGGCTTGGATGATGTATAGATAGTTAATGCCTTGAATGAAAAATCGGGGCGTTACATTAAGTTATCAAAATTCACTCAATTTGAGTGCAAATCAAACGTTTCAACCCTAATACTATCCATGTTTAATTTGAATTTAAATTCAAGCACAGATCAAATTCTAAGATTCAACTGGGATATGGTTCTATGATTATACAACCCAGATTGAAAAACTCAAGTTTCATTCGGGTTGAATTCAAGTTCACAATTCAGGTTACATTCGGATTGGGTATAGAACAGAGTCCCAACTTGAGTAATATCTCTATTCAAATGGGTTTGGGATTTGTTTTACCTTTTGAAAGACCTTGGCCATTAACGAATATCTCGAGAAAGTCCTCTCCTTAGGTCACCTATAGGAGTCTCTTTCTTTTCTTCTTATTTTCCTTTCATCCGAACTTTTCTATTCTTAACTAATTCGTCTTTTCTTTTGAATATTTTTCTTAACTGGATTGTGGTCTCATATTTTCTCCGTTGATTGGAACAGAGCCTTGGTTTTCCCTTTCGATTTCCNGTTACATTCGGATTGGGTATAGAACATAGTCCCAACTTGAGTAATATCTCTATTCAAATGGGTTTGGGATTTGTTTTACCTTTTGAAAGACCTTGGCCATTAACGAATATCTCGAGAGAGTCCTCTCCTTAGGTCACCTATAGGAGTCTCTTTCTTTTCTTCTTATTTTCCTTTCATCCGAACTTTTCTATTCTTAACTAATTTGTCTTTTCTTTTGAATATTTTTCTTAACTGGATTGTGGTCTCATATTTTCTCCGTTGATTGGAACAGAGCCTTGGTTTTCCCTTTCAATTTTCTTGTGTTTAGGGTTGGTTGTTTGGTTTCTTGGAGGATTCTTTATGGAAGAGGGTTTGATTCAAAAGCTTCAGACTTTTTCTTTTACAGAGGAAGAGGATGTGGCTATTGATTTCGGTATTGATGATATTGCAGAAGGTCTGGAGGAGTGTGCTTTGAGTGTTTATGCGAAGATTTTGACAGATAAATTTGTAAACTCAATAGCCCTAAAGAACACAATGTCGAGGGTTTGGAGGTGTAGCGATCTGAGAGTTACGAGGATCGCTTCTAATATTTTCTAAATTTTCTTGAAGGAGGAGAAGGAGATTTATAAAATTATGTGTCAAGGTCCATGGTGTTTTGATAATTTTTTGCTAGTTACTAGACGATGGTCCAAAGGTGTTGGTATAAACTCAATTTCATTTGATTTGGTCCAATTTTGGATTCAAGTAAATGGTTTTCCTTGTGAATGTTTTACTAAGGAAATGGCAATCAAAGTTGTTGGTAGTTTTAAGGAATGAGAGGTCGTGGAAATTCGTGAAGGGTTTGGAAATGGGAGCAAATTCATGCGGTTGAGGGTCAGTGTGAATATTAAGGCTCTGTTTCGTCGAGGAATTAAACTTTGGGACAGGATGGGGAAACCCATTTTGCTTTATTCCAATACGAAAGGCTACCACAGATGTGCTTTCATTGTGGTAAAACAAGGCACACTGTGAAACAATGTACTGGGCTGCTTGAGATAGTGAAGAAGGATAAAGGGATTGAGAATCAGTATGGGGCATGGTTAAACGCTACTGTTACCAAGTCCAGGTTGGTTCTGAGGCATCGGAATGAGTCTGGAGTTTCGAAGATTATGTCTGTGGTTTCTGATCCGACTACTTTTTTTAGGCTTGATTATGGGTGTTCACAAAGGGATTCTATGCGTGTTGTTAGGCCGGAAATCAGGGAGAGTAATCAAAGGGAGCCTAATGAAAAGGAGGGAACTCGGTAAGAGGAAATCTCTCCACAGATTCTTAATGAGAATTTGAGTAGTGATTCAAACAAGGAACAACGGGATGAGGAAGCTCCAGTTGGTTTAGCATTTTTGGGCCATATAGAAACTCACCAGGCTCCCATAGTAAGTGATATATATGAGGTGGGTCAAATTTCAGANGCGGGATGAGGAAGCTCCAATTGGTTTAGCATTTTTGGGCCATATAGAAACTCACCAGGCTCCCATAGTAAGTGATATGTATGAGGTGGGTCAAATTTCAGATTATCCAACTACAGCCCATTTAAGTAGTGCTTTAAACAAGGAAAAGAGGGATGAGGAAGCTTCAGTTAGGTTAGCATCTTTGGGCCCTACAGAAACTCACCAGGTCCTCATAGTAAGTGATTTGTATGAGGTGGGTCTAATTTCAAATTATCCAACTACAGCCCATTTGGAGTTTTTTGAACCTGTGGAAAATAGGGGTTCTTCCTTTAAATATCCAAATGATCCAACCCATATGGAAGACACGTCTTTCTCTGGAAAATATTCTTCATCTTCTAAGTTAAACATTGGGGCAGTTAGGGATCTGAAGTTGGCTAGCAAAGGCAAAGGGAAGTGGACTCGCAAGGCTAAACACCCTATCCCAGCTGCAAATTGGGAAATCCAAGAGGTTAAGGTGGGTGGCAAGCGACGGGGCGAAGTTTCGGGGTGTTTAAAAAATTCTGAAAATGGAAACATTTTTTGTAAGAAGGTTTAGGTATCACAATCTTCATCTCTTGATTTATCTTCATTGGCGGCGACTGTTGATCAATCCCGCCAGGAGCTATGATAGTTGTTTGTTGGAATTGTCGAGGGCTTGGGAACCCTCGTGTAGTTCGTGCGCTTCATGACTTGGTGAAGCGAAAGGAGCCCAATTTGGTTTTCTTGATGGAAACCAGGCTATTTTCTGACGAGATAGATAAAGTAAAGTTTCGAATTGGATTATCACAAGGGCTGGTAGTTGACTCACGAGGTAGAGGTTGGGGGCTTGTTTNGTGTAGTTCGTGCGCTTCATGACTTGGTGAAGCGAAAGGAGCCCAATTTGGTTTTCTTGATGGAAACCAGGCTATTTTCTGACGAGATAGATAAAGTAAAGTTTCGAATTGGATTATCGCAAGGGCTGGTAGTTGACTCACGAGGTAGAGGTGGGGGGCTTGCGTTATTATGGAAAAGGGGTGTTCGAGTTAGTGTCAAAAGCTTTTCGAATTTCCATATTGAAGCTATTATTGATGAGGGATGCCCTAAGCAGTGGCGTTTTGTGGGTTTCTATGGTCATCTTAATGCTAGTTCTAGGAACCATTCATGGAGATTGTTGCAGCTTTTAAGCCAGAGGTCTGATCTTCCCTGGATATGTGGGGGTGATTTCAACGAGATAGTGTCCTCTTAGGAGAAATGGGGTGGACAGGATCGTCCAAATTGGCAAATGAGGGGTTTTCGTGAAGCAGTTGATGCGTGTCAATTACATGATTTGGGATTCAAGGGTAGCCCTTTTACATGGTGGAATGGGAGTGCCCATCCGTACCAATCAAGGCGAGATTGGATAGAATATGGGCATCTCTTCAATGGTCATCATTGTTCCCCCACAGGANGTCCAAATTGGCAAATGAGGGGTTTTCGTGAAGCAGTTGATGCGTGTCAATTACATGATTTGGGATTCAAGGGTAGGCCTTTTACATGGTGGAATGGGAGTGCCCATCCATACCCAATCAAGGCGAGATTGGATAGAATATGGGCATCTCTTCAATGGTCATCATTGTTCCCCCACAGCAGTGTCGAACATTTACCCACAATGGACTCGGATCATTACCAAATTCTATTTTGTGTCTCTGATTCACAAAATATGGGAGCAGAAAGTAGAAGGAAAAAACGGTTCCGTTTTGAGTCGATGTGGCTTACTGACTCCTCTTATTTGGATGTCATTCGTCAAAATTGGCTTGAGTTTGGATGGGGCTCGCCTGTTCAACACTATCTCAACAATATGAGTAGTTGCAGAGTGGGATTATTGAAGTGGAAATATGAGAAGTTTGGCAATATAACTACCAAGATTCAAATGAATAAGGAGCGGATTCTCGAGTTACAAGCAGGGATCATTACAGAGGATATAGGGAATGAATTAAGGGAGGTCCAAGTTCATATTGATAACCTGTTGGAAGCAGAGGAGAGGATGTGGAGGCAGCGATCAAAATCTTTGTGGTTGGCTGAGGGTGATAGAAATACAGGTTTTTTTCATTCACGGGCGAGTTCTAGGAAACAAAGGAATTTGATTATGGGTCTTTTTAATGAGGAGGGCACTTAGGTTACAGAGCAAGGACAGATTGAACAAACAGCAATAAAATATTTTACGAATTTATTCAAGTCAACGCATCCTTCTTCTCAACAGATGGAGCAAGTCACAAGTAGTGTTGAACCGTGTGTTTCACCTGACATTANATTTGGATGTCATTCGTCAAAATTGGCTTGAGTTTGGATGGGGCTCGCCTGTTCAACACTATCTCAACAATATGAGTAGTTGCAGAGTGGGATTATTGAAGTGGAAATATGAGAAGTTTGGCAATATAACTACCAAGATTCAAATGAATAAGGAGCGGATTCTCGAGTTACAAGCAGGGATCATTACAGAGGATATAGGGAATGAATTAAGGGAGGTCCAAGTTCATATTGATAACCTGTTGGAAGCAGAGGAGAGGATGTGGAGGCAGCGATCAAAATCTTTGTGGTTGGCTGAGGGTGATAGAAATACAGGTTTTTTTCATTCACGGGCGAGTTCTAGGAAACAAAGGAATTTGATTATGGACCTTTTTAATGAGGAGGGCACTTAGGTTACAGAGCAAGGACAGATTGAACAAACAGCAATAAAATATTTTACGAATTTATTCAAGTCAACGCATCCTTCTTCTCAACAGATGGAGCAAGTCACAAGTAGTGTTGAACCGTGTGTTTCACCTGACATGAACCGCATCCTGTTAGTAGAATTTCTACCACCCGAAGTGCTTCAAGCGTTGAACCAATTTCACCCAAATAAGTCTCCTGGTCCAGATGGTATGGGTCCAATTTTTTTTCAGAAATTCTGGCCTGTAATGGGTGGTGATGTCACAAGAGTTGTGTTGGATTTCCTAAACTCAAATAACCCATGCTACAATCTTAACTACACCCACATAGTATTGATACCTAAGATCCCAAACCCAGAAAACATGACACACTTTCGGCCTATTAGTTTGTGCAACGTTGTGTATAGACTAATAGCGAAAGTTCTTGCTAATAGATTGAAGAGAATCTTACCCAAAATAATTTCTGGGTACCAAAGTGCTTTTCTTCTAGGACGGCTGATTACGGATAATGTCCTTATTGCATATGAGCTTAATCATTGTCTAAAGTAGAAGAAGAAGGAAGGTAAGGCATACATGTCACTCAAACTTGATATGAGTAAGGCCTACGATAGAATTGAGTGGAGTTTTCTAGAATCAATGATGTGTAGAATGGGATTTGATGAGCTTTGGGTGAGATTCATAATGCAGTGTTTCGTCAGTATCCTATTCTCTTGTAATTAATGGGGAGCAATCAAGTTGTTTCAGACCACAACGAGGCTTACGACAGGGGGATCCTCTCTCACCTTACTTATTTCTATTGTGTTCCGAAGGTTTCTCAGCACTTTTAAGAGCAGCAGAGGTTAGGGGAAGTCTCAAAGGAATGGCAGCAAGACGAGGAGAGCTGAGTTTCTCCCATTTATTTTTTGCGGATGACAGTCTTCTTTTCACCCAGGCTACTAGGGGGAATTGTGAGGCTATTATGGAATGTCTCCATAAATATGAATTGACATCTGGACAAGTAGTGAACTTTTCTAAATTAACTATTGTGGTCAGTAAGAATACCTCACCAACTGTTCTAGGTGAGATTCAGAGTATGTTACAAGTTCCAGTAGTTGAACACCATGATAAATATTTGGGGCTTCCTTCCGTGGTTGGAAGAACAAAGTGNACAAGAGTTGTGTTGGATTTCCTAAACTCAAATAACCCATGCTACAATCTTAACTAACTACACCCACATAGTATTGATACCTAAGATCCCAAACCCAGAAAACATGACACACTTTCGGCCTATTAGTTTGTGCAACGTTGTGTATAGACTAATAGCGAAAGTTCTTGCTAATAGATTGAAGAGAATCTTACCCAAAATAATTTCTGGGTACCAAAGTGCTTTTCTTCTAGGACGGCTGATTACGGATAATGTCCTTATTGCATATGAGCTTAATCATTGTCTAAAGCAGAAGAAGAAGGAAGGTAAGGCATACGTGTCACTCAAACTTGATATGAGTAAGGCCTACGATAGAATTGAGTGGAGTTTTCTAGAATCAATGATGAGTAGAATGGGATTTGATGAGCGTTGGGTGAGAATCATAATGCAGTGTTTCGTCAGTATCCTATTCTCTTGTAATTAATGGGGAGCAATCAAGTTGTTTCAGACCACAACGAGGCTTACGACAGGGGGATCCTCTCTCACCTTACTTATTTCTATTGTGTTCCGAAGGTTTCTCAGCACTTTTAAGAGCAGCAGAGGTTAGGGGAAGTCTCAAAGGAATGGCAGCAAGACGAGGAGAGCTGAGTTTCTCCCATTTATTTTTTGCGGATGACAGTCTTCTTTTCACCCAGGCTACTAGGGGGAATTGTGAGGCTATTATGGAATGTCTCCATAAATATGAATTGGCATCTGGACAAGTAGTGAACTTTTCTAAATTAACTATTGTGGTCAGTAAGAATACCTCACCAATTGTTCTAGGTGAGATTCAGAGTATGTTACAAGTTCCTGTAGTTGAACACCATGATAAATATTTGGGGCTTCCTTCCGTGGTTGGAAGAACAAAGCGCGCCATTTTTAATTCCATTCGTGAGAGGGTTTGGTTGAATGTGCAAGGCTGGCAAGAGAAATTTTTATCACGTGCTGGGAAATAAGTCCTTATTAAGTCAGTAGTCCAAGCTATTCCAACA